TGAGGGCTGTAGGAAGAGCCAGAGTTAATTCCAGGGTCACCAGGTCTTCCCTCAAAGAAGGGAAGGCAAGTTGCACTTGCCTGGCTTCCTAGAAACATGATTTAGAATGCAATGCCTCCCACTAAAGTTTTACTAGGGTTTCCTGAAGGAACCAGCATATTCCCACGTGTTCTGTCCTTGGCTCCTGCTGCAGCCAGTGGTCAGGTACCCTAGACACAGAGCTCATGGGACACTCAGACACCTGCAGACTGATTTTGTGACATCCTCTGGACTGCTCAGGAGCACTGTAAGGAGAACCAGCATGTACTCCAACACAGCAGCATGCTGTGTGTCCTGTTGCCTCAGCAAAATTAATTACTGCTTATTTAGCTATCGTTACTGTTGTCTCCACCCTACCGTTGCTTTGGTGCCATTATGTTTCTGAAAAAGAGCAGTGACCTGATAGAGGCACCAAGCATTGAGTGTGTGCTGGAGTAGCACTGGGAGCTTTGGGTTGTGCCATGGCCTGGTGCATGAGCACTCTCAGGGTGCTGGGGCAGTACAGCCAGCACAGAACACAGCACTGGAAGCATCTTCCTGTTGGCTGATCCTAGCTGCCAGTGTGGGCACACAACTCCTCTCCTGCCAGAACTCTTTCCTCTTACAGAACCCTTGCTCTGTCCTTGGGCAGGGCATTGGGGGTGAGCAACAAGTGGAGATTCTAAGTTCAGACCAATGCCACACTGGAAGGCTTCTACATTCTGCTGGGCAGAGCCCCAAAGAAGGTGAGTGTCCCATTCTCCCAAGAGCCCAGGCAAGCAACACCTTCTCTCTGTCTCTACCCCAGGCCAGGCCAACCAGCCTCACAAGCAAGGTTACTGTTAACCACCCTTCCAGGGAAGAGATGTATAAGCAGATATTGCAGCAGCTTCCAACATGTTCAACAGCTGCAATCGCAGCACCTCCTGACCTGTTGCATGTCAAACACAGCAGCTGCTGTGAGAGCTGCTTGCTCCGGCAGGAAGGCAGCCACTACTACCTCTTCAGGTAGAGTCTATTAAGGCTGCTTATTTTGGCAGAACCGCAAGTCCTTCAGAATCACAGAATCATTTAGGCTAGAAAAACTCTCTGAGGTCACCAAGTCAAACCATTCTCCCAGCACTATCAAGGCCACATCTACACATCTACATCTACACATGTTTTAAATCTCTTCAAGAATGGGGACTCCACCACTGCCCTAGACAGTCTGTGCCAGGGCTTGCAGTTTTTCCAATCTAAACCTCCCCTGGCACAACCTGAGGCTATTTCATCTTGTTCTACTTTCTCTCAGGGAGTTGTAGAGTGAGAAGGTCTCTCCTGAGCCTCCTTTTCACCAGGCTGAGCCTCCCGCAGCTCCCTCAGCTGCTCTGTATCAGCCTTGTGCTCCAGACTCTTCCCCAGCTCTGCTGCCTTTCTCTGGACATGCTCCAGCCCTTCAATGACTTTCTCATCATAAGGGGCCTAAAACTGAACCCGGGATTTGAAATGCCACAGCAGTTCCTAACACAGGGGACAGCCACTGCCCTGGTCCTGCTGGCCACACTGTGGTACAGGCCAGGTGCCACTGGCCATCTTGGCAACCTGGGTACACCTGAGCTCATGTTCAGCCACTGTTGACCAGGACCACCAGGTCCTTCTCCACCAGGCAGCTTTCCAGCCCCTCTGTGTCACACTGTATTAGGAACAGCAAAAGTGACAACACAGACTCTCTAGCCTTAGTTGCAAAAGAGAGCACATTTTACTCTTCCAGATCTTCTTTTATTCTTTATTATAGTCCCAAGAAGGTCCAAAAAGGTAAAGCTTACATTGGTCATCAAACCAACACATCACCATCACTGCACAGTTAAGAACACCCCGTGACTGTTTCTTACAAGTAAACAACAAGGCAGCAAACAACACCTGCAAAGGTTGTTTTCCTTCTCCTTTGGGTTCCTCCTTATGATTTCCCAGGCCAGAGTGAGAAAGTTGTGTGCTTGACTTTCCCACAGGCTCAAGCTAGTGCCTGAAGCCTAAAAATCTCTTATTTGACCACTGACAGTTCCCACATCTCACCCTTTTTGTTTTTAAGGCAGAAGGCAGCATCTGTTATCTCCTGCAGGGCCCTTGCAGGAAAGAGAACAAACACGGCACCAGACGTCTCTTTAGTAACCTGTCAGTTACCAAATGGAACCTCGATTGGATACCGATTTAAAATGATCAGGGATATTCTTTGTCACATGTTATCAAATCCTTCATGCACTACCATCAAGTCTTGTGGTTCATTCCTGCAAGGAGTCAGTTACTAATAGCTAACTTAGCCCTGGGATTACCTTCTATTATGAAAGCTGGTAAATTGGTGCTATTTTAGTCCCCCTGCTCCCCTGGGGCCATGTGCCCAGCCACAAGCCACAGGAGGGGGGAGTTATATCTAAATAACAAGGATTAGAGGTAAAAACGAGGCTCTTCCCTTCCTGGGACGATGTCCCCACTTTATTCAGGGAATCCAGCACAGAAAATAGGAAGAGACTGATCCCATGCTGCTTTTTGAAGGAAGGGGGAAGGGGGAAGGGTTACAAATTACAATCAATAGGAAAACACTACAAGGGAGGAGTCAGGGGAAGGGACTAACCACTGTGCAGCTCAGAGGGCATCTCTCCAGATCATACCATATTTCTTAATGCATTACAACAAATTGGAGTGACTCCAGATGTGCAGGATGTAATATAAATAAATTTAGACTTGAATTGCACAGAAGTTTTCAATAATGAAACAAGGTTTCATTATTGACCTCTTTCAGAAGTGAATAATCCAAACATTTGGTTATGTCTGCTATATAAGCAGATTCAATGACCAGTTTCAGGGATACTTCAAGAAATTGTTGGAATGCCATGGCAACAGCCCTCAATTCAACCAACTGGGCCAAGCCTGGTTTGTGACCTTCTAGCACTTGCCAGTCAGATTCATCCTTCCAGGGAACAATAGGTTTTCCTGTTTGTCTGAGCTGTCAGGAAAAGGTGGTGGTCCTTGCACTGGCACCCAGCTACTTTTGGCTGCAATGACAAATTGGTTGATTTTATTAATTTCAATAATTTGTGGCTGGGTAGATAATAAGCAATCTGCCCTGAAAGTTTGCAGCACATTTTGCAAAGGAGCACTGTTCGCTGTTAGCAAAGTTCCATTAAAAGTCTTCCCTGCTATATTGGAAAAACAGTTTTTGCAGGATCAGCTGCCATTAATTGCAAACACCGTTAATGGCATTTGATAATCAAATAAGCACCCACAACGTGGGTGCTGGGGATTTTTTTTGGTTTTTGGGGGGTTTGTTTGTTTGTTTTAGTTGCAAAGGCATGTGAGGATGTTTGTTGGGGCCAAAATGGCAGCCTGTGACCATGCTGTGGTTGAAAAGATTGTTCAGGCAGCAGCTGACAAGATAACCTACTTCCCCAAGGAGCAGAAAGTCTACTCCAATAAAGGCTGAAAGACTGTACAAGCCAAGTCATTCTACCTTGAATCTCCAAAGCACTTTCAGAGATTTTGGAAATCTCTGTATTTGCACTTACACTTCTCTACCATTGCAGGAAGTGTGTTGAAAGTACCAGAATGAGCCCAGTATGGGCTTTGTAGCTTGCACATTCCAGAGAGACCCACTGAAGGATGTGCAGGATCAGACTATTGCTCACTCAATTGGCCAATGATACCTGTAGGATGAAGATCTGAATTTGCTTGATAAACCTGATTCCCAAAGATCTACATGATCCAAATTACCACAAAATAAAACCACAGCCTTTGGTAACTATGAAGCATACCAAAGGCATGTAAGATATTACATGAGGTAAAATTACATCTTTTTTGGAAAATTAGTAATTTTTGCTTTAGAGTGTAAATAAATGAAACTCAGGGAAAAGTCCATCAGCTGAAGACATTGATCTCTAGCATCAATCCTGAAACGGAACAGCTTTAGAAGGTTAGTGGAAATACAGTCCCATGATGCTGACACAGGGCTTTTGTTGTCAAATTGTTTCTATAACTTTCATACACAACTGTCTCTTTTGCAGTCACTCTTCTGTTGTTGATCTAGCCAAAGGCTATGCAATATGTCCCTTTTCACTCTTCAAGGGCGATGCGTGTCTGATGTGACTGCTTAAATCTGCTGATGATAAAACACAGGCATATCTTCTCCTAAAATTAATTAGGTGTTACTGTTGTTAGTCAATCGAAATTTAAATTTGATAACTCATTTTCCAAATTTCTAATATAAATGTTACATTGTTCAAATTTATCTGTTGTCTATAAATTTGATCAGCACAGAAACTGCAAACAGCTAAAGTGCTTATGTCCAGTGAAGACCTGAACACCTCTCCCAGGTGAGGGTGTCAGGCTCACTCCAAAGATCGATCCAGTTGTTATATTTACTGATCAAATTGCTGAGTCAAAGAACTCGTATGTAATCTTTGCTGCAGGAACATCTGGGCCTAAAAAGAGCTAAGGTATGTCCAGTGTCTACCCTCACTGGAAAAGAATCCCCTATGTGAATTTTAAAACAAACTTCTAAAGAATCCTGGGATAAAAACTAAATGAACCCCTAATAACTGGTCTCCTCCAAAATTCTGTCAGGATAAGAGTGCTTTGAGCTCAGCAAACTCTTGTAGTGGTATGGATGCTAAATCTGAACCAGAGTGCCTGTAGTTATTACAGGCCACATAGCTCTCAGGCCTGACTGAGGGCTAGCCTGAGAAATTCATGAGAAAGAATTAAAATAATTCTCAGAGATACTAAACAGCCTTGCAGGTGTTGTTTTGCAGCCTGTTGTTTCTCCTTGCAGGGGAGAGTCAGGGGGGGCAAAGTGCCCCTGACCAATGATGGTGATGTAGTACTTTGTTAACCAATAAGAGTTTCCTTTCTGTACTTTTCCACGTATCTGTCTATAAGACAGAGCTGAAACAATAAACTAGGAATTCTCGTGTTGTGACTCCCTTGAGAGTCCTGTGTCGTTCTTTAAAGCCGTTCCCAATCGGAGTGACATCTGGTGACCGCCCGACGTGATGCTACACCGACCCCTGAAGTCCGGTAACCCGACATGAACTGCAGCCGACCCCCGAGGTCAGAAAGCAACCGACGTGATCTGCTAATCCCCTGAGGGTAAGCAGCGAGCGGGAAAAAGCCAGCCCTTCCCCCTAGAGGGGTAAGTGGAATTCTCCCGGGCTTTCCAAGAGGAAGCTGGTTCTGGAAACCAACGGGATAGTGGAGCCTGCCTGTGAGTGGGTTTGGAACGGCCATCTTGGTGAAGCAGAGCTCAAAATTCCCGGGTCTGAGCCGTTAGTGTGTGCATAATTGCATTCGCGGAGCCGCCAAGATAAAGTCCTCATAATGAAGGACTGTACTTCAGCTGATGAACAGCTGGCCTACCTTGCATGGCAGGATGCCCTGCCCCGCATGGGACTCAGTGTTTCTGAAGATGCCATGCGTGCTTTATTTCAGTGGGTGAAAGAGCAAGGTTTTGATATAACTATGGACAATGCCTTTGATCTCGAGACTTGGTCGTCGATAGGTGACTATTTATGGTCGGAATTGACTAACGGAGATACCAGCGTGGGTGGCCTGGCGGCCACCTGGGGAGCGCTTTTTAAAGCGCTGAAACGGAGCCAGTCTGAGGACAGTGAAACTGGGAGGAGAAACTTTGATGCCGAACGTTCCTCCGTTGTACAAGATAAGGGACCGGGAGATGAAACCGTAGATGAGCTGCATAGTGCTCTTTTAGCTCTGCCCAGACCTTCAGATGACTTTAGCGGCGAGCGGGAGCAATCTACAGCCCGAAAATCTCCCTCTCCAGAGAGGTTTGAGCGGCCGCCATCCGCGGAGCTTGGCGCGCGAGCTTTGCCAACGGGAAAGCGGCAGGAAAGCAGAGACTGCCCGCCTCCGCCTGTGCCACCCGCAGAGCCTCCGCCGGCGCCAAAAGCGCCACCGCCGGCTGCCGCAGAACCTGCTTTCTCCAGCCCCTCCGCGCTGTCCGAGCTTCTTCCTTCTGTGCCGCGAACAAAAGCGCAGACATCCCCGCTGCGGCCCGTCAGCGCGGCGGGGGAGGGGGAGAGAGTCAGCGCTCAACTCCCCCGCGCCCGGCGCGCGGGGAGCCGCTGGAGAGTCCGAGCGCAGCTCCGAAACACAGAGGGGGGGGAGGGGCCCGCCCAAAAAGACCCCCCGTGTACCAACGCGGCGGGGCACGCGGCTCCCCCCGGCAGAAAAATGGCGGGGGGGACGGGCGGCTTTGCTCGCCCCGCGCATGCGCGAACCAATCCCCCCGGTACCAACGTGGCGGGGCGCGCGGCTTCCCCCGGCAGAGGAGCGGCGGGGGGAAGGAAACCAACAACCTCG